GGGGGGCGCGCAGCTCCGCCCCGCGCCCGCCGGGGCAGCTGGGGTGGCTGGCGGCTCGTAGCGCCGAAAACGCGTTAGTGCAACGCCGGAAGCTTGTGCTGATAAGGCACAAACTTACGTCTGCTGTTAAATCTCACACAAGCCACCTGGAAAACAAAGAGTATCTTGTAGTCTCACCCGTATATTCCTTGGGTAGCGCTGTCACGCATAGGTTTACTTTGTTGTCGCCTTTTAAAACAGGAATCTATATCTAGTTGATGCTTTGCTAAGCAATATATTGTTTGCGGATATGTGCAGGTTTCTAGTGAGTAAACGTTTCTATAGTAGGAAAAGTAGGAGCAATGTTTTGAGAAAATAGGTTATTTTTATGCAATTACACGTAGGCAGAATTTGGCAAAATATAGATTTGTACGAACAGCTGCCTGCATGGTAGTGATGTACTTGCACTGTTATGCAGCATATATTGCATTTGAAAGTAATTAGTAAATCGGGTCATGATCAAGTACAGCTTTGAGACCTGGAAGTTTTTGTGTTCTAATAACAGTCTTGGATACTGACTTCCTCTAGCCTTAGAGTAGTTGTTTTTAACCTCTAAATTTTTAAAATAGGAGGAAGGCAACTTAAATATAAGGTGTAATATGAACATTAATGATTATCTGTAAAAGGGACGTGGAGAGGAGCTATTAGGTTGATGTGCCTTGCAAAAATACTAGTAGTTCAAACCCAAAAGATAGGTGAGATAGTGGAATGATGCCTTAGAGTAGGAAAGCTCTATCAAAGTAGCTTTTCCGTTGTAGTATCAAGAGAGAGAGATTTGGTATTGGAAGAGCTGATGGCCATTCACAGGTGTAACAGGTGACACGGAAAAACATCAAAAAGAAGAAGAAGAATGCATTTTGCAAGTGTACGCCTTGGGCTTACAAGTCATGGTGTTTTGCAAACTCTAACGTGAGATTTATTACTTACTTCAGTGGTAGAAACTTTGAGACGTACTCACAGAATTAATGAAAGCAAGCCAGTCAGGGAGTGCAGGCAAGAGTACAAATGCTTGATGGTGTACCTGTATATTAGTGTGGAAAACTTGTGTTGCATTCCATTTGTGCTTCGCTTCAGGAAATATGTTTATCGACTTTTGCAAGCACAAAAAGATTCATTAGGAAGATGCAGAAAAAAAGTTATAGATTTTTGATATCTGATTGAACAGCACCTGAAAGAGGAAACCAACAACCAGAGGAATGTTCACTCAGAAACAAAGCGAAAAAAAACCTGGCTTTTAAAATTAAATTGGAAGGTGGACCTTCCAACAGTCAAGCTTTATAAAAAGTGCTTGCTTGAGAGGTTCCATCTTTTGTTCTTTTTCAAGTGGAAATAGAACACAGTAGTTGTTTTTAATGGAAGATAATTTTTCAGACAATTGTTGACTTTTTTTGAGTTACAGTTTCTGTACGTTTTCTTAAGCAGAATGGTTCATATATCAGGACAAAAGCTGTGGATACAGTGGTATTCGTAGCAGATGTTTAGACATCAGTGAAAGCAGTACAGGGAGGCTGTCTGTGATTTTACGCTATTGTCTTATGTAGGTTCTGTCTATCTCAAGTGAACACAAAGGTGTGTTTTATATTTCAGTATTCCACCCTTATTTTCCATGCTTCCTCTTTTTAACGTCTAAGGATGAGTGCAGGGCCTTGGAGAACTGGTTCTGTTACTATTCTGTGTAGTGCTGTTTTTAAAGAAATGGCTAGTTCCCGAATTTTCCCTTTTAACTCTTCCTTTAATGAAATAATATAAATGGAACAGAATTGTCCTTGTTATTTGCGCTTAGTTTTTGAGAGAGTTTTGTCCCTTGTTATTCTTATTTTGCCCCCTTGTGTATAAGATTACATTCTTCTGCTCTCCTCCATCCAGAGTTTTAGCTGACATTCTGCTTTGATTGAGTATTACTATGTTAGTGAGAATTAATGTGATATCTGATTTTATAAGTTAGTGAAAATCAAAATGCCTCTTTGGAGCGCCCTAGTATTTCTTGTTGCTAGAATTACAGAAAAGGTTTTCTGTAATTCTGTTTATATAAAATTTCAGCAGAGTATCTGTGATTTACAACCAGCCAGCTGATTTGGTGAAGCCACTATCATATGAGCTATCACTTATGTGCTTCAAGGTTTTTCTGTTAGCCGGTTATATATTGCCCCTGCCTATAATTTGATTCTCCTAATTAGTGCCTCTCCAAATTAGCCTTTCTTTTCCCCAGTTTATAGTCAAGAACCATGTTGGCATTGTTTGGAGTGGCAAGCTTATTGGCAGCTCATCTGTACATCATTGACAGTAGCCAGCTGCATACCAAGGCTGAGGATGGACACCCACATTCTTCTCACTTCTCCTGAACCAAGATGAACACTAGATTGGGTCAGGTAATTATAACTTGGGAATAAGCGAGCAGACCAAGAGATTTAAAAAAAGGCAAAAGCAGAATGAGAATGCCATAGTGTGCGTTAGGTGAATGAAAGCTACATGGTGGGGAAAAAAAAAAAAACATGGGAGCAAAAAGGAAATGAGAGGGGGATGGCAATAAAGATGTAATAGAGAATAAGAAGGTAAACTCTTACACTTTGACCTATTTTTCCTGCATCAACCACCAACCTTCCTTTTCAGAACTCTGTCATCTCAAGGTTGAGTGTTTTGGTCATGCGGTAGGTAAACATGGTCTCAAAGGACTTCAGATAAAGTGTGCAAGCACTCAAAGTTGAGAAATGTTAAATTACAATACTAGCTTTTAGGCTTTCAAGAATGCATCCCTTTGGATGTTAGATTTTGTACTTTGCTTCTCCCAGGGCTGCAGTGATATTTTTGAGGTCCGGTACTGTGTGCCAGCTGTGCTTGAATAACAGCCTAAGTTGAGTTCACGTACTTGTTTGTGGCAAGTGGCACGTAATCAGTTTGCTTAAAACTAAAGACCTTTTTGGCTTCTTATTACTGAGTATAAAGCATCCAGAGGGTATGTAAGTCATAGTCACAGAAACATTTTTGCGTGTTTAATCCTAAAAACTCGGGTTAGCATTTGGATTTATTAAGGAGGACTCAACTTTTCAGATGTTTTAGCGTCGCAAGTTACAAGCTTTTTACCCCTGTACTCACAGTTTTGTAATCTCCTGTTCACGTGTTCCCGTTGTCCTCATTCAAAACAGGTAGGGTTTGGGGGTGGTTTTTTGTTTTTTCTGAGTCAATCTTTCTTGACTTAGTGAGGACTATGCGTAGTTTATTCATTTACTTACAGGATTGAAATAACTGCAGTAATAGATACCTGCAGTGTGCCATATATTCAAGGTGTTTCTTTGTAGTGGCTGTGAAAACGTTGTTCATTAGTTCAGCAAGATGGTTCTCTGTTCCTAGTCATTATTCAGTTTTTATTATGTTTCTGGGAGGTGTTTTTGAGATCAAATTTAAGATCTCTAGTGGGGATACAGGTATGCAAATTACTTTAGAATAACTGATTCTTTGGGAATGTTGCATTGTATGTTATCTGTGAAATATTGCTGCAACACTTGGATTTTTGGAAATTCTGAGGTAGCACCCATAGGGACTAATCACATTTCCTTTCAATAGTACCAGTTTTTTGGAACTAAACTTGTAATACAGCTGTTTAGCCTGCTGCCTCTCTCTTTGAAAGAGAGTTTGGGCTTGCAACTTTGAGGTAGCAGATTGAATGTCTAAAAGTCATAATTTAAAAGGCTGCAATTAGGAAATCATTGGTTTTCTTTGGAAGTGTTCCTGCAGATTCCTTGTAGAAGCTTAAGTTGCAGTGTAACCTTTAGAATAGTAAGCTGAGGAGTTCTCCCTCCTAAAGGAGTGTTACAGAAACATTCTTCTAAATCACAAAAACCTACAAAAACAGTGTGATAGTGAGTTCAGAAAGTAACTGTTGTGCCAAACAGCAGAGTAACCATTTAGGCTTCTCTTTTGTTTTCATTTCCCTAAGTGAAGTATTGAAATAGACCTTAAACAGATATGGAAAAGCGTGGGTTGTCTCCTCGGATGTAGGGTAGCTCAGCACAGTGTCTTTAAGCTTTTTTGAATCTGCAGACAACTCAGTTTTTCAGCAAAGCTGTGGCTCACTAGGTAGTTAAGTTTAGCAATGTAAAGCTTGCTTTTCTAGGTATCTTTGTTAGATGTAGTTTGTGCAGCACTCTTTGATGGTTTTTGGCGTTGCGTTAAGCGTTGTTTTTGGATAAATGGCCGTTCTCAGGATGTGTTCTATGGTAATATGTGGATCAGGTGCTAAGGCTTAACGAATGTGCCATGTAACTCTGATCTATGTTTTGTAGGCAGGATGATGTCCTATAGCCAGAGCAATCTGTGAACCATGACTAATTGTGCAGAAACTAGTTTCTGAAATAGCCAGAGAACAGAGAAGCAAATAATTTTGAAGCATGAGACAAGTCAAAGGGAAAATATAACATAATATGAAAGTAAATAACAGTAATATTAATAAAGTTTTGAAAAATTAATGCTTATGGCATATCTTGTGCCAACAGCTTAAGCAGCAGAATAATCCTGCTAGTGCGGTCGACAGCATATTCAAAAGTTCTTGCAAGTCACAGCTCCCAAAACCTTCAGTTTGTTGGGAGGACTGTGTTCCCCGTATGCTCTAGTTCTGCTAAAATGGCGATAACTTTTAGAACTGTAAGCATTACCTATTTAGGCAATTGTAACAATTATGTAAGTAAATGTTATATAACCTTACAGGCTTAAATATATCCAAATTGAGGTGCGGAGAAGAGGAAAAGTTTAAAAAAAAAATAATAAAAAAGCTAGTTAGAAGTTTTTAGTTTTAGGCTCTTGTAAAAATGGCCTGTTTTTCAGCAGAGCTGAGTACAGCATAGACCTGCTGATAACCATTTGATTTGTCAAAGGCCACAGTGGAAGTACTTAGTCTGCGATCTAACATTGGCCCTTTACATGTTGTCTGCTTTTTCTTTTTACTAATCTAAACCTTCTTATGGCCAGAATCACACTAGTTGCTTGGATGAACTCACTCAGCCTCTGAAGATGAGTTAGCAGTGAGCTTCTGATGAATGCTCAGGAGAGGCCTTGGCAGCCTTCCTTCCTGTGTATGTGAGATGGGTTGATCTTACAAATGATGGACCTATAGCTGTGCGTTTTCCAGAGTAAAAAGCCTGATCTAAGTTTTTGGGGGGTGAGGGAAGGTTATCATGTGGCAGCACATAGTATCTGTTGATGTTTATGAAGCTGTTTCTGCAAGGACGACGGATGCATATATTTGCGGGGACTTTTTTGTCTTTTGTCTTTGTCTTTTTTGTACAGGTTTGTACAAACCTTGAGCAGGTTGAAGCTTCCCTTCTTCCTTTCCAGAACACTGAATTTAGAGAAGTTGCATATTTTAGAAACACAGGTTCTGAGGCTATATGTAGTATGCCATTAAAAATTGTTATGGTCCCTTTCTATATGCGTGGTATTTTCAGAAGTGTTAGTTTCGATACAAGACGGTGTCACTTAATTTTAAAGCCTTTCTGGACAGTGGGCTAAGGCAGCTGAAAATATTTAAAGTTATTGTTTAGTTTTCCAGTTTGTAGTCTAACACATAAAAACTCCATGGGTTTTGCTAGATAAAAAAATATTTGATCTAAAAATTTGTTTACCTCCTTTTTAAAATTTTTTGTTACAAAGGTGGCTCAACTGTTCCTTGCATTGTGGTTGTGTGAGAAAGATCTTGTTTCCCGCTCCTGAGAATGGTAGGAGAAACAGAGAGAAAGAAAAGCAGGCAGAAGTAGGAAGAGAGATTGGGGAGGAAGACCAGGAAAACAGAATACAGGAAATAGGTGGGAGTTGGAGAAACACGTTTTTTCTAACATGTGAAATTAATGTGAAATCTAGCAACAGAGCTCTGAAACCTACTGATCAAGTTTATCCCTCAAAACTGTTATGAAGAACAGCAGGTTTTGCTACTGTTGCTTACATTGTTTTCCTACTTCTAGTCGTTCACATGGAGAATGAGTTTGGCTGTGTATGATTCCCCTCCCCACCTTAGATTATAAGGTTGTTTTGTTTTATCAATATGTTTCTTGTAGCGTAAGTACTCATAATGAGCACTCGGACGTTAGGAAATGTCATGTTGTCTGTCTATCCTAATTCAGTCAGTTCTGTTCAGAAGTACTTATGTCTGTGATGGAACCCTGTTAGCCCTCTTTAAAGATGGGCTCGAGGTTTCATGAAACATGCCAGCCCTGAGATTATGCAATGAAGTAATTCATTGATTTTGTTTAGCATTTAATTAAGGAGTTAATTTTGAGATTTAGCTTGTTAAAACATCCAAGAGATTCTGCAGATACCAGTAAAATTCATCTTCTTTGGTTCTCCAGTTTAAAAAAAAAAAATGCTAAGCATGACAGTTGTGAGGGAAAATTCAAATTCTTAGCCAGTGATACAAATAATATCCCTTTTAGTCCATAAATTCTGAAATATTAAAATGTTTATGCTACAAGAGAGAGCATAGTGCTGAAATATACATAACCCATATAATTATGCCTTATGGCTGCCATTTGCAATGTAAACATACATCTAGATTCCCAAATGTAGTGCAGAGCAGAGATCCCCAAGTAACGCTGGCTGAGCTGATAGGTATGTTTTTAAAACCAACAACAAACCCTAGCTTCAGTCCTGAAAGAAGCATCACAGTAGTCCTGCTGAGAGTGAGGTAGCATGCTAATTTTCTTCCATGCTATGCTTATGCATCTGTAGTGTTTCTGGTCCCAGAACCACTTCAGGCATAAGTAATTTAAGTAATTCTGTTCTGTGCTCTTACAGTGATACGCCTTAGGAGCAGTACTGAACCAGACAGAAAGAACTCAGATTGCACAGCTAATGATTGCCCAGGCTGAAATGCTGCCAGTTCAGAGATGGAAGTCTAAGACTTAGCTTTTTAAACCTTAAGTCCTATTAGCTACATGGCACAATATTTTGTATTTATGTGCATGTTCAGTATGAATGTTATGAACAGTATCAAAGATTCTGAAAACCATTAGCATATAGAGTGTTAGTGAAACTTAGAGAAGTTTTGGGAAGAAGTTAAGAAATTTTGTAAGTAACAATCAGTTGTAGCTCATTTAAAATATATTCTGAAAAATTCACAGGCCTTTGCATATGTTTGACTTTTTCTTGTTTAATTCAAATAACTTAAAGTTGCTTTGTAAGCATTTGAACTAATTAAGCCTTCTTTCTTACAAATTTATGTCCTGCTTCTCTAACGATTTATATCCCCTCAACCTTCCACTCCTGCTACCCTTATACTATCATTCCCTTCCTTCCCCAGATTCCTGACAGTACCATCAGCTTCTTCATATATCCACCATCTAAAGGTTGATCAACAGGCGATATATGCTGTGGGCTGTTGCTGACCTAAGTTTGGGCAGACTCGTTAGCCAGTACATAAATAACGGTTAAAATAACAGTGTAGCTTTTCCTTCCAAGGCAACGTTAACTTGGGTCTCTTTCTTCTTCCAGATTTAATGAACCTTGTCAGAAACTCGTATGTTATTTACCTTAGTCAGTTTTAATCCTATTTGACAATTAGCTACGTTATTAGCCCAATCGCACCTCTCTTTTTTTTTTTTCCAGGAAAGTGATTAAAATAACTTAGGTTTCAGGTTGGGAAGGAAACCATCTTAATCACAATGTGAACAGTGTAATCTGTAGCTATTCTGTATTTTTGAGTTTGGGGTACTTCATCAAAAACCTTTATATGTATTGTTCTTCCATCTCACCGCTTTTTACTTCCTCTTTCTTCTCCACACCTGGCAAAGTAGTTGGAGGTTATTAAAGCTTAAGCATGAATTAACAATTTTACATATGCCTTTCTATTTGTGTGTCACTGAGGTCTGTGTCCAGCCTCTCTTGTGTGGAGATAAAGCGAACCCTTGAAACGCAAGTGTGGGGCACTTGGATGGGGGGGAGACGGAGGGAGCATTAGTCAGCCTTTCCATGGGGAGGTCGTCACCTCATACCTGTGAGAGTCTTGGGTTCCCATTCCCAGGAGCTACTGCTACCAGGTCCTCCACAACCTCTTGTCTGCTCACAGCAACTTTTGAGTTAACAGGCAGTTAAGAAATGTAATGACCTCAAGGTGCCAAAGACTCTTACGAAGAAGGTGAAGCTTTCTTAGTTAAGTGTGGCTACAGTTCTCTGTCTCTTCATCCTGGGTGTTTGCAGCTGACCTGACAAGGGGAGCAGCGTGAACCCCTGTGAGATCAAGGGAGATGCTGGCGAAGTGTTTCGGTAGG